GCTAATCTCCCATGGATAAGCCATTGTGAAAAGCTAAATTCAAATGCAACATGACCTTCATTTTCTAAGACCTTTCACTAGTACTATACCAGAATCTTCGATCTTATTTAGTCCCTCAATACCAGTCTTGCATATTCACAAGGCTTCATGTTAATACAGTAGTGTTAAATTAAATAAGCAGAAGTTACTAAGTATACAATTGAAACATAATTTAGGAAAATATTTTGTAACAAACAGCGAAGTTTTTGCCAATCATGAGCAGCTGAGAATCAGCCAAGCACAGGCCACACATTGCTCAGACCATGCCCCAATAGAGCCAACACTTAGATGCATCCAATCAGGTGATGTGTCTACTTTGATTCTGTGTTCAGCCTATAAAAGCTCACTGTCCACCTCTTCTGGTTCTGAGCATTGCCCCATTCAACACATGAATTGTTCTTTGGCCAAATAAACTCTGTTAAACTTGTGTAAAGTTTTTCTTTTAACAAGAAGATACTGAGGTTCCTGGAGAAAAGAGATTAAAAAAAGAAAGGAAAAGAAATGGAAGAAAAACTGTGAAACCGTACAACCCTTTTCACTTTTCTCAGGACAGAATGGCAGGAAAATGAAAGGTACAATGATGGGTGTATTACAAATAATAGTGAGTAGAGATCAGAACTTTAGTTAATGTGGCAAAATTGACCTGCTAATCTTTCATCCTTGCATTAAGTAGACTTAGTCCTGCAGTCACTAGTGCCATTGGACATCTGCCCAGCTCCCCTGCAGGGCGAAAGCCAGACTCTCAACTTACCCTAGGGAGCAGCAGAGGGTGCATATGTCTTCCAAAGCAGTTGAATGCAAAAGAAGACCTAGGAGACACTGAGTCAACCACACTCCATTTTTTTTTTTTTCTTGAGTGCATTAGTCAGATGTGTCTCTCCCACACATTTCTTTCCTGGGGCATGGAACATAAAGTCAGTCCTTTCTAAGAAAGCAAGAGAAATGAGAAATAAACATTCTCGCTGTATAATTTTAATGTGGACAAAGGCTATGGTTTCTATACTCAGTTGGTTGATCTTTTTCATCTACTTTTAGCTAGTTATTTTGGGAAATATTTGAAAGAAGTAAATATTGTCCTCCCCAAAGCAAGCAAACATTAATTGTTCTTATTTTAGCGATTAGATTCTAACACATTTTCCAAACCTTCATCTCTTTAGAAAGCATGCCTGACTTAGCTTTAAAATAAAGTTTTCTAATAAATACAATTTGAATGTTGTTTTTATTTGGTGCTGATTGAGTAAACGGGTTAGTGATTTTTTTTAACAGGGCCACTATATCTCTGAGAAAATTTGTGTTCATCTGAATGAGGTTGAGAAGTGGATTCTTTTTAATGAAATCAAAGAGATACAGGTTCCAGTTCCAGCTCCACTATGTGACTTTAGGCAATTGATGATTTCTGTGTGCTTTTATTTCACTTCTTTGAAAGGAACAATAAGAACTTCACAAGGCTATTGTTATGATTAAATGAAAAAATATATGAGAATTGCTTAATATACTGCTTGACATATTACTGAAGTAAATTTAGCGCTCTATTAATAATTATCAGCATCACTAAAGGCAAAAGGTTACTTTGTGATCTCATCTATAAACGATCTTTACATATATTATGTACAGAAAAACTGATAGTTATTGAGGAGATTAATTTTCTCTCTGTCATTGTTTTCCACCTGTACAGCATATTATGGCTATTCATCACTAATCTGTTCTCTAGTGAGAAAATTTCTCCCTAAATTTATCTCTCTAGGCAGCCAAATGATAGTAGTTAAAACATGTCTTCTAAGATATTGCTGCCTATTAATGTCATGTGAAATTCCTACACCCATATGAGCAGCTGTGTACTCAGGAATAAATGGCGCTGTGAAGAAGTGTGTGCATCTCCTTGAGGAGGCAGTAGTAACTGTGGTGATGTGAACAGGGCACAGGAAAGTGCACAATTCAGTCATAAAAATCAGAAGTAAACTCCTTTAAAGGGATAACCAGAGGATGAAAACCTTTCTATTTCCTAGTTTCCCTGTGGAAACCAGAAGTAAAATTTCGGAAAGTTATTTACTGGACTGCCAATTAGATAAACTAATACTAGATGACCTTATTTTGGGTACATTTACCTAGGGACATAAGGTGGCAAATGAAGTGGAAGTTTTAGGGTCAGAGTTTTACAAAACTTCTTCCAGATATACAGGATTACAAGACAAGATGATCTTTGTCACTGCCTAAGGCCTAGATATCCCTAACAAAATATTAGTTCTAGAAAATTGTGAGTCAATGACTCCTGTGATCATTTTGAGCCTCTGGTCCAGTCAAAGGTGTTGTACTTAGTAATGAACAGATAGATACCTTTAACACTGCTTCAGGCACTCATGGTTCTACTCAAACAAATACATGTTAGTCAAAAAATAGAAGAACTATTTCAGAGATTTCTGTTATGATTGCTAGGACCATAACCTTGGGAATATGTGCATTACCTAATTTAAGTAGATAATGTGGCTTCCCTCTCATCGTATCTGCCAATAATACTTTATGATGAGAATGACAGTGACCCAACAAAAGTTATGTTAGTGTTATTTTTCAAATCCAAAACACAAAATGCAGAATGCAAAGCCTTGCATACATGTGTAGAAAAATATTCAGTTTATGCAGATACTGTGTTTTAAGAGACCTGAATCCAATTACCATAATCTAGTATTCTTACAGAATTTCATTAGGAAAATGTAATCTTCTGTCAAGTATCCTTGAAAAGCTAGGTATTGAGATGGAACACAATGAAATTATTGTATTGTAATGAGAATGCTTCTTAATGCACACCTTTCTGAGGTTGCCCTTTTACTGAAAGAATATACTATTTTTGTCATTATTTGGCTACATATTAAGCAGTGTAATTCTTGACTTGGTGTTAGGCAAAGTTTATAGTTCCAAGACTTACCTAATTTTGTTTAGAATTAGGTATCAAATACTCAGATGCAAATAACAAAGCACGTTGATAGCATTGCCTTTTAGTGGTAGTTATTATGCTAAGCAAACAAGTCATCAAAAAAAGCACTTGCTCTGGGTACAGAAAAATAGAGCAGAAACCGAGACTGTTAATTATTTTTATAAAACATCATAGAAGTATCATTCAAAAGTATTAAAAAAAATCATATAGGAAAGAAAACAGCTCATAGTTTGCAAAACAATTTTAACCTGTGGCATATATGGAATAATGTATGCTTTAGTCAATATATTATTATTATTATTATTATTATTATTATTATTTGATATGGAGTTTCACTTTTGTAGCCCAGGCTGGAGTGCAGTGGTGTGGTCTTGGTTCACTGCAAATATTGCCTTCCAAGTTCAAGCGATTCTCCTGCCTCAGCCTCCTGAGTAGCTGGGATTACAGGCATCCACCACCACACCTGACTAATTTTTATTATTTTTAGTAGAGATGGGGTTTCACCATATTGGCCAGGCTGGTTTCAAACTCCTGACCTCAGGTGATCCACACTCCTTGCACAGCCAAATTTCTGGTATTACAGGTGTGAGCCACTCTGCCTGGCCCTAGTCAATGTATTTTTATTTTATATTCTAGCAGAATGTTTTGGTAGTAAAGCAAAATGAAATCTCTACTGCTGATTTATTTCTTAAGATTCTGTATCAATAAATAAGGGCACAATGGAGAAAGGTATCTGCAGTGAGTGAATTTACATGTGACATTCTTAGCATTTATTGTAATACATTGGTTAGACACAGTGGGATGGCAATTTACATCAATTATTTGTTAGTTTATTTATGTACTTGGTATCAACCAATTATCTATTTTGTGCAAGTTATAAATTCTCTGCATTCTTAAAACTGGTCGAATTTTAGGTTAAAGTTAACCATACTTAATTAAAAACTGGGGAATGCCGAGGTGTCTCTGTGCCCATGTCAATGAAGGCGGAGACTGCTTAGTTCTGGACTCTCAAGTGGTTTCAGGCAGGGAAGCCAGGTTGGCCGCTCTGATCACCCAGAACACCCAGGTCATCCCAGCATAGTTCTCACAGTATTACCCACGGCAAGATGGAAGCCCCTATCTGGCCTCTAATCATTCTGGGTGGAAAACTATTTTTACAATACTTCAAATACTGTCCCATAGGGTTTGGTTCACTGAATGAGTTGTAGTTGAACTGGTATACGAAAACATTCTGAGTATACAAATAAGCTCTAGCAACCAAGGGAAAGGGTCTCTGCTGGCTGAATTAAAAAAAAAAATCAAGGACAAGAGAACCTACTTGAGATCCCAGAATTTAAACGCTGATATGGAGCAAAATATGATAGGCAAAATATCTGCAGTTAACTATCCAACTCTAACATTTACAGTTATATGTTCATCAGAGAGTTGATTCTCTCTCCCCACAGGTCCTTCTCAGGAATTTCTATGAGCTTCAAGTCAATGGCCTATAGTTCAATAAATGTAGGACTATCTTCTTTATCCCTGCTTCAAAACACAGACTTTCACTTTTCCTCATGAAGACCCTTTTACAGAAAGATGACAAATGTCATAATATGTGACAATGCAATCTTGAAAGCAAATGGAAGAAAACTTGCAAAAATATCAAAATGAAATATCTCTTGTTTGATAATCGTTGTTGAAATATTTAACCTCAGAAAGTTGAAAAGAAAAAGAAGTATTAGATGTAATAACCTATGATTGTTAATCACAGAAAAGATGAATTTTTTTAAAAAACTATATGGAATCTTAAAACCTTAAGGACATAATTCTCTAGTCACAGTAAAAATAAAAAAAAATAATAAATCACAGTGGCAGTCTTAATATCCTGCTCAAAATAACCTAAAAATATGAAAATAAAAGACAGAAAAAAATAGTTTTATAATTTTGTACCTGAAAATAGAATTATATAACAATTCAATCCCACAGCTATAAATGACTAGAGTTATTTTGAAAAGTTACATTTCACTTAGCATTTTAAAAAGTTTTCAGGAGAAACAGTATTAGCACTATTTTTTATTATTCGTGAGATACTATATATACTCATATTTTGTCCATTGTTTTAGCACATTATTTTACTGTTATAAATTATTTTTCATATGAATATTTGTATATTTCAGCATGTCAGTTACAATACAAATTTAATAACAATTGATCTTTGAAAACAATATACAGGAAGTAAATACCTTCATTCAGTACAGAAATGCTCTACTTACTAAGAACTTGTAAGGAAATTGATGTCTTGATTAATAATATGGGATTTAAATGGGAATGTTGTGGAATGTAATGAAGCAACAGTATACTTATCCATAATTTGGAATTAAAATACATGAAAGATTTATTCAGTGAAATAAATTTAAAGCTATACAGCAGTAAAGATCAGAATTAATTGTGAAGTACATTAAAGACTTATTCATAAGATGAAAATTAATGTTTTAAAAGGCAACTGAAGGACAGACTTCAATGTTTGCCAGGTAATTGTGAACAATGTTCTTGGAAAAAAGAGAAAATTTTTGAAAATGCATTTTGTAGGACATTCCTGAAGGACAAGGCTGCATTATCTTTCAAATAGCAGAAACCTTCAAAGTACAATATGCAGTTAAGATTTTAAAATGTATTTTAATTTTTAAAATATTTAAAACTATCAAGGACATATTTTTAAAACCTTACTTTGTCCTGAGAGCAACAGTATATTGGGGACTAAAAAACATACTGCCACCTCCATGAAACTTCTTTTCATTTATTTTGTTTTTATATAAACCCAAAGAGAAAGCATTAATATATGTTTTCAAAATACATTTTTATGTGTATTTTCAAAATTATTCATAAAACACCTCTCATAAGGGCAATAACTTTGCCACCATCCAAAGACATTTATGTTGAGAGCAGCAAAGTATCAAATAACAGAAAAACTGTTGTGGTCCAGGAAGAAGAATATTGACACAAGTTGTAGTTAGGCTCTTCTAAGTTTAAATTCAAGATCGTTTGCTTACTTTTTCTGGTACCTTAGGCAAGTTATTGAAATTCTCTTTTGGAGCTGACATGAAATTTACATATAACATATGCAGATACGACTTTCCAGGTCTTCTACAAAGCCAGCTGCTGATTTGTTGTAATCCTCATCCATTGTTTTGTGATTGTGTGACCTGAGAAAAGCTGCCAGCATCTCAATCTGAAAAGTCAGAAATTGACACCGCCTTATTTGATGCCGTGAGGATTAGGTAAAGCAACATATGTAAACATATCTAGCCCCAAAAGCGTGTTCTCCCCCTGTGTCATATTCCTGCTCCTTCCCCTTTTTGCCTGTTTTTGGTTCATAATCAAGAATTCCTTCCCCTCTGCTTCATTTCATTTCTTCTTTAATCACCAAGAAAGGATGTTAAAACTAGAAAATCTGAGTGGCTTAAATGAGTCTATTGTAGAATAAATAATGTTTGTGTTGTTCTCCGTTCTGTAGGAGTAAATAATATTAAAAGGGCAAATTTTTTAAAATGTATGAATAAAGGCAATTGAGTTCTAGTTTCCCCTTCCTCTGCCTTTAATCCTTATGAGATGGGTACATTTGAGAAAGTTACATATTTTATTGAGTGGGAGAAATCTGTTTTTCTAATATATTAAAATAAACAGTTTAAATAGGTGATCTTGAAGGCTTATTCCACCTCTAAATTTTGTATTATCATTAAATAGATCTCAACATCAGTGGCTTTCTATTTTCCTCTTCTCTACTATTTCCGACTTCTCACCTGATAACGCTGTCCTTAGTTTGGTTAGCCTGGTTAATACGATTCTGATATGAATGAATGAAACCACATTCTGATCTTGCACAGGCCATAGCGGTGTTTGCTCCATTCCAGAAGTTACCAATAATGTATCCTTTAATGACACTGGGGGAGACCATAAAATATGAATGGATCAGCAAAAAAAGTTCCCAATTTTGGAAAAAGTACTTAGAGTGCACATCCTGATAATATTATCTTTACTTATGCAGAACAATTGTATACTCATCATAAATAATACACAAATTTTACATCGTCGTACTCTGTATCTTTTGAATATAACTAAGTAATTTACACAAATTTTACATCGTCATACTCTGTATCTTTTGAATATAACTAAGTAGTTTTCTTTATGAATATAATGACGAAAGATCTAGGATATACTGTATACACATATGCATATGTAATAAGTAAATATATTTCATATGAAGAATATTGATCATTGATGGTATACGGGTAAAATGGCCTGTGTGGGGAAAATTTAACCTTAGCATATATACCAATTTAATGTTAATACATATGTCAATTTTAGGTTAACATATAAGCATTTTTCTTCAGTGTGAATAACTAAATGAAGAGAGATAAATTCCTTTCTTCATCAACTTCAGTGCATAAATGCTGATTTGCATTTCAAGCATATACCGAGAGCATAGCTACTATTTGATTGGTATCTTTAATAACATATCTCAAGAAAATAAATGTTATAATGATTAATATTCAGATAAAGGTAGAATAATTGCATGTGATTAAAATTATCAGATTGATTGCTAGCCCCATTCTAATACAAACTGGTAAGTTTGATTTTTCTGTTGCTTGATTAGAATCTTTTGGATTTAAAAGGCCCAGAAATATAATCAGCTATTTGTCTATATTGCTAAGAATACTGTGTCTGAAAAAAATACTGTGTGACCTAATACAACTTTATTCCAGAATTAATGAGAAAATGTCCAGGCAAATAAGAGACTAACAATAAAAATGGAGCATGGTTTAAATGATCAAATTTGAATAATTACATTAACAATATCATTCGTTCATCCCAATAATTAAATATATATATATATACACACACATATATATATAACTCAGGAACTCTCCTAAGTTAAATGTAAATACTATTTGATAGGGGGTTCAGACTGTTGATAGGCAGCTCCCAAATCATATGTTAAATTCCTTTTGCAGAGAGTTGCAGAGATTTTATTTCAATAAAGTAGTACATAAAACCACTCAAAATAACCCTAAATAACTGAAATATCTAAGGTAAAAAGATGTATTGAGTAATGCATTGTGAGAATTCAAGAAGCGTATATGAAGAAAAAGAGGATGGTGGTCTATGTCACTGATGCAGGGCCCTGACTGAAAGCTAAATTTCCACATAGTTCTATGGAGTCCAGGCAGCTCGTATCACTCCTTTAGCAGATTTCAGGTAGGCATCTTAGGTTTTCATTAGAATAGACTGTGCATGCTTCTTTTGCCATGAAAAGTGTGGGAGGTGATTAAAACTTGGATTACACAGCAAATATTACACACATATTTTCATATGTATTATCTCAATTAAGCTCCATAATGAATTCATATGGGTACGCATTATTTATCCCTTTTTAAAACATGAGGGAATAGAGGCTCTCTCGTTTGATGTACGTCAACACAGGTAAAATTCAAATTCTAATAAGATTTCTGAATCTGAAATCCAAGGAATCTTTGCATTCTACTGACTTGCCTTATTTGACAAAGGCAGTATGTATCATCATAGAATGAAATATATGATAAGCCCCATTAAATATGTATACTGCCTGGCTTAACCAAGACTTACAAACAAAATACCTACATTGTAAAGGAATTACGTTTTTAGATAATTCAAAATAGGCTGAGTGTGGTGACTCACGCCTGTAATAACAGCACTTTGGGAGGCCAAGGTAAGCGGATCACTTGATGTCAGGAGTTCAAAGCCAGCCTGGCCAACATGGTGAAACCCCGTCTCTACTAAAATTATCCAGGTGTGGTGGTGTGCACCTGTAGTCCCAGCTACTCGGGAGGCTGAGGAAGGAGAATTCCTTGAACCCAGGAGGTGGAGGTTGTAGTGAGCCGAGATAATGCAACTGCACTCCAGCCTGGGTGACAGAGTGAGACTCTGTCTCAAAAATAAAATAAATAAATAAATAAAATGATACTTTTTTTTTCAATTTTTATTTTATTTTATTTTATTTTACTTCTGGGATACATGTGCAGAATGTGCAGGTTTGTTACATAGGTATACGTAACATGTGCCATGGTGGTTTACTTCACCTATCAACCTATCATCTAGATTTTAAGCCCTGCATGCATTAGGTATTTGTTGTAATGCTCTCCCTCCCCTTGCCCCACCTCCCAACTGCCTGACAGGCCCCAGTGGGCAACGTTCCCCTCCCTGTGTCCATGTGTGCTCATTGTTCAACTCCCACTTACAAGTGATAACATGTGCTATTTGGTTTTCCGTTCCTGTGTTAGTTTGCTGAGGATGACGGCTTCCAGTTTCATCCATGTCCCTGCAAAGGACATGATCTCATCCTTTTTTATGGCTGCATAGTATTCCATGGTGTATATGTGCCACATTTTCTTTATTCAATCTATCATTCATGGGCATTTGGGTTGGTTCCAAGTCTTTGCCATTGGAACTAGTGTTGCAATAAACGTAAGTGTGCATGTATCTTTATAGTAGAATAATTTATAATCCTTTCGGTATATACCCAGTAATGGGATGGCTGGGTCAAATGGTATTTCTAGTTCTAGATCCTTGAGGAATTGCCACACTGTCTTCCACAATGGTTGAACTAATTTACACTCCCACCAACGGTGTAAAAGTGATCCTATTTCTCCATATCCTTGCCAGCATCTGTTGTTTCCTGACTTTTTAATGATCACCATTCTATCTGGCATGAGATGGTATCTCATTGTGGTTTTGATTTGCATTTCTCTAATGACCGGTGATGATGAGCATTTTTTCCTATGTTTCTTGGCCACATAAATGTCTTCTTTTGAGAAATGTTTGTTCACATCCTTTGCCCTGATGGAGTTGTTTTTCTTGTAAATTTGTTTAAGTTCCTTATAGATTCTGGATATTAGCCCTTTGTCAGATGGATAGATTACAAAAATTTTCTCCCATCCTCTAGGTTGCCTCTTCACTCTGATGCTAGCTTCTTTTGCTATGCAGAAGCTCTTTAGTTTAATTGGATCCCATTTGTCAATTTTGGCTTTTGTTGCAATTGCTTTTGTTGTTTTTATAATGAAGTCTTTGCCCATGCCTATGTCCTGAATGGTATTGCCTAGGTAAAATGATATTCTATGAAACAAAATGTTACATTTTCATTAAATGATAAACAAAAATTAAAGAATTCAATTCAGAATTTATATCTGCACACTTACTTGAAATATAAAAGTGTGCCATCAAAAGTAAATCACACAACTCGATAGCAGAAAAACAAATAATGTGTTTAAAAATATGGACAAAAGACCTGAACAGACATTTTTTTCAAGCAATTCATATACATGGCCAACAGAAATATGAAAACGTGCGCAACATCACTAATCATCAGGGAAATGCAAATTGAAATCTCTGAGATATACCACCTCACACCTCTTAGAATGGCTATTAACAAAAACACAAGAGCTAACAAATATTGGCAAAGGTGCAGAGAAAGAAAAGGAACTCTAGTAACTGTTGGTGGGACTGTAGATTGTACAATCATTATGGAAAACAATATGAAGGTTCCTAAAATTAAAAATAGAACTACCATGAACTCACCAATCCCTCTTCTGTATATGCAATGAAAGGAGATTAAACCACCATCCTGTAAAGATGCTGGTGCTCAAATGTTTATTGCAGAATTATTCACACTAGCCATTTTATAGAAACAACCTAAGCATTTATTGACTAATCAATGGATAAATAAAGTGTGGTGTATCTACACTTAATGGAATGCTATTCAGCCATAAAAATTCAGATCCTGCCATTTACCACAACATGTGTAGAACTGGGGGACAGTATGCTAAATGAAATAAGCCAGAATAGAAATAAAAATATTGCATGATCTCACTTATATGTGGAGTCCACAAAAAGTCAAATATACAGATAGAGAATTAAACAGTTGTAACCATGAGCAGTGGGAAGAAGGGTGTGGAGAAAATGGGAGACTAGACATAGGCAAAAAGATAAAAAGTAGCAGATATCTAAAATGCATTTAGTCTAGATTTGTAATGTAGCATGAGGATGAATTAATTAATTGAATTGCATTATATTGGGAATTTTTGTTAAATAAGTAGATCTTAGTTGCTGTTGTCACACACAAAAAAGTAACTGTATTATATGAGATGATAGATAAGTCAATTTGTTTCACTAAAGTAACCATTTTGCTAATTGTATGTATCTCATTACATCATGTCTTTAACCTAAAATATACACAAGAAAATTTATTTTTAAAAAGGTAAATAAGAGAGTAAATAAATGATTGAATATAGTAATTGTTATTTGATGAAACTGCCAAAATATCATATTTTTAACAAACATTGCACTGTGTTGAACATAAATAAAATGAGAATAAAATAACCATATCCAGCTTTTCCACAGAAAAACATTCATAATGAAATGGGAGAGTTCCCTTAACCACCTGGAAGAATATGCAGCGGGGGTGTGGCTAGCTCCTTTGTTGCCCCCACTGCTCAGATCCCTAGGGCGAGCATGCAGACAGGCAGGTGCAGAGGCTCTGGGAACTACTCTTGGGTTCCTGCCTCCCGCAGTGTTTAGGGAAGGGTGTCTACAACTCCTGAAAACCAAGTGGGTGTGTGTTAGAGTATGCTCTTTCAACTTTGCCATGTGCAGATGGCTTGTGTTAATCAGCTCAATAGATCCTCTGCCTTATCACAAGGGCAGGGGGCCAGTGTAACAGCCTTTTCTGTATCCTGAGTTTTTGCCCAGTGTCCCAAAAGCATCAGATCATACTTGGGCTGGAAGAATGAGTGCAAGGTTTTATTGAGTGGTGGAGGTGGCTGTCAGTGGGATGAATGGGGAGTCAGAAGAGTGGGGATGGAGTGGAAAGGTGGTCGCCCCTGGAGTCAGGCTGCCCAGTGACTAGACT